CAGGACGGAAACTTTCTGTTGAATTTACCTGATTATTGTAATGTATATATTTTTAATTCCATAACTCGTGCTACGATACCCTCCAACGAATATTCACAGTTTTCCGAGCACAGTGTTCGTCTCGACACCTAATTTATTTCGCTTGATTTCATCTGGATAATTTGTATTGGTGAGAAAGACCATCTGTCTTTTGATTCTAAAATGTATGAGAAATTCAGGGATGTATGTATCGCAGCTGAGTTTGAAATGTACGTCTTATGTAGGCGTCTCATAACCGGCATACACGAAACGTGAATTTGTAAACACTATCCAATATGGCGGAAAGTGCACTTTGGCGTTCATGTTTGCGTATTTCAGGAAACATTCTACACGATTCTAGGTTCATCGGCGACGTTTTAGAATTATCACTGGAATTTTGACGAAAAACAGACTCTCGTGATCACTAATGTGCAATTTTTTTAAATTCAATCCTTCGGACTAAATATCCGATATTAAGATTTCTAAACACACAATAATTTTGCTTTGCCTTAAATGAAAGTGCATTTTATTACAGAAGAGGGAATTTCCCACATAATTCAAAACTTTTAGTGTGTGTGATGTATTTTGAAATTTAGTCGACTTCGAAGTGAATGTTGAAGAGGAGAGACATATTTATCGTCGGATCATATATTTTCGGACAGCATACGTTTTTAGACGGCCATGTTTTTCGCGAATTACTCCCGCTTGTACGAGGTGTGTAAGAAACAACAATATCGGTTTCGAAACATTTACTGCAATCAATACGAATGTCATTGACCCACTTCCACAAATATGGAAACGTCATAGAACAAATCAGATGACGTCAATGTTGAACGTTACGTCACCTATCACTATCCGCATGATGTCAGCTACCAACGGGCTTGATAATGGCCCATAGTCAAGCAATATGAGGGCATTATCAAGTTACAGTGGCCCGCTCATTTCTGTACGCTCGGTTTAATGATAATTCTACCATGAATTTGGAATTTACTCGATTCTGATTGGTCACTCAGAGGCTATTAAATCACAATAAACCCCCCCTGATTGAAAAAGCAGGTTTGACGGCCGCATCACCGCGGAAGCTAATACTCATAGAATAGTACTATTTTCAGTTATTGTCGGTAGGCATATTTAAATAATTATATCTACAATTACAGATTACAAAATGCACAGATGCGGTTACTACAATATTCAAAGGGTGTGTGGCAATTCATTTCGTGCAAAAAACATGATAGCAATATACAAAGGGAATGTATTTACGTTTGGAGACAACAGGGAGCTTGGAATTTTGGCGTTTTTCTATGCACGACTGTGACGTCTTATCTTTTGCGTCACAATGAGCCATATGACGTCATAATGGTGACGCGCGATGTAGAGCGAAAGCCTTGCAAAGCTTGCTTTGTTTTCTTTAGGGATTCACACCTCATGTTAGCTTACCAAGTTGCCGTGCTTATATACTTTAAATGCCTGTCATGTGTTCGAGTGAAGTATTACGTGTAAACAAACTGCTTGAGGATATACAGCGACATATTGTGTTCGGTGATTCCGTAATTCAGATCGACAACCCACTCAAAATACTGAACTCAACCCATGCCGCTTCACTCAGTTTATTTGCTAACACCAAAGAGTTCGCGTTTTATTTAGTCATGGTAGAATGGAGATAAACATACTGTGTTTTCTATGTAGAGCTAGGTTACCTGTAGATTTAACCGCGCTAAATTTAACATTTGAAACCACACGCTGCGAAAATCAGTGCGAAATAAAACTCACTACCAAGCATAAGAGTCACGAAAATGAATGTTGCATTTAAGTTCTTTGGGACAATTAGTATTTAAACTTGGTAAGAGTTGTTTCAATTAATGTGTTGTAACGCTTTGAGGAATGGTCGTATTACTCTCTTTGAAAAGTTATGAAACTTGAGTTTTGCTCGAAATATGTGGAAATGTTGACGATTGTAAATGTGAAGACATCTCCCTAGTCTTTCTTGGAGATAGATTTTGTCGCTATGCATAGTTTATAAGTCAAAATAAAAACTTCACATTTTTAAAAGTTATCCCATATATGATATACAACGGACAAATGTATAAGAGAAAGTAATTTTTAATCATTAATGTCCAAAGAAGGATTTTGATTAACGGTGGTAACCATAATTTGTTCCAAGCACCTACGGTATTCGGTAATAACATCAACAGTTTAAATCATAAGTCCCAAGCACGAGAATCTGATGGCACACAAGTACAGCAGCGTGTATGGCCACCATGTGCGTTGACAACTTCCACACAACGCCTCCGCATTGACCTTGTGATGCTTGTGAACACATGATTGGGAAGACGACGCCGTTGTTGCCGCAAAATGGTGCCAAGATCTTGCAAATTCTGTGGATGATTCTGGAGACTTCTGCCAAGAGCATCCCAGACGTGTTCGATGGAATTGAGGTCGGGAGACCTTGACGGCCAGTCCATGACGTTGACTCCCGCATTCTGAAGGAAATTCCTTGTCAAAATTGCTGTCTGGGGTCTGACATTGTCGTGTTGGAAGATCAAACCGGGTCCATGTGCTGGCATAAAAAGCAGAAGTTCTGGTGCCAGTACCTGGTCGCGGTAAGCAGCAGCGTTGAGGTTGCCACGGATGACAAGAAGCCTGGAACGTGCATTGCCACAGAAAGCAACCCACACCATGACACTTCCGCCTCGAAATCTGTCAACTTTGTGTACACAACACTTTGCGTAACGTTCGTGACGGCGCCTCCACACCCTCGCCCTACCATCAGCAAATCGAAGATTAAATCGGGATTCATCACTGAAGACGACTTGATTCCAATTCCTCTGAGTCCATTGTAAATGTCGCTGTGCCCACAATTGACGTTGACGTCTGTGTAATTGAGTCAGAATCGGCCCGCAGTATGGCCGTCGTGCTTGAAGGTGAGCAGTTCTCAGACGGTTTCGAACAGTTTGCGCACTCAGACTACCCCTAAACAGTTCATTTCTGGTTGATGTAGCGGTCAAAAATCGATTACGGAGGTGACGTAAGACAATCTGACGATCCTCTGCATGTGACGTCATACGAGGGCGATCAGCGGTGGTACCCGTTTGCTGTAGACGCGTCTGTAAATCATAAACACTCCGTCGACTATAACCCATCGTCCTTGCGACTTCAGCTACGGACGTTCCCGTCTGCAACATGCCGATAGCACGTTCACGTTGCACATTTGAAAGGCATGGCATGACAAATGGCCGTAAAGACTTTTGTTTTCTTGTGTTTCTTTTTTTGTTAATGACTGCTAACAAGTATGGCTGAAAACACGTGCGGTATTATGGCCACGTGACCAGTTGCACGTGAAAAACCACCACGTGACCAGTTGCACGTGAAAAAACACTTTTGCCACTATAGTGCTGTGCACGGGATTTTGATCGATTCACCTGCACAAAACCGGGTGTTATCTGAAGACAATACGTGGCCATTACTGTTTAAATACACAATAAGGGCCCACAATGATAACTGGTCAAAATGTTAAAATTTTAGGATTGTGAAGTTTTTAATTTGGTTCCGTATATATGAAACAGATGAGATGGTTTCATTGTCTTTTTATGTCTATTTCAGGTGGATAAAATGGTAGAAAAAATAGACTTTTTCACAATTATGATCAACGCCAGATGATCGATATTCCCGAGGCTTAAGTTAAACTTGACCAAATACATTTTAATTTGTCAATCTGAGAGGAAGAAATTGTGACTCGAATGCAAAACAACACAGAGCAGCAAGAATTGGGGTACAATTGGTGGCCACGAGGGATGCCTACTTCTGACCTGAATGTCTATCCCAAACACTTAACACAGACGTGAGGGAATTCCAGCATTTCATCTACTGTGTTCTTGGAAACATTTTCTTTCATATTTTATGAATTGTCCCAGGCATTTGAAGATATAGATGCAACTTTAATCTGTGACCAGTGTAGCTTAGCTCCCCACAGACGAAGTTTTGTCGTGTTGGATGGTGGTGTAGAGAGTTTAAAAATCAATTGTTTGTCAGAGCTGATCTTGTTGTTTTCAGAGCCTGCAGAACGTAGAGCAAATAAGAAAAGCAGAGAGTTTTTGATTATCCACATGGTATTTATTCTATTTGTCTAACAGTTTTCTTAATACAGTGTCGCTCTTTGTTGTATTGGGGAATACAGTTAGTCTTTGAGACAGGGTCCTTCTCTCGCCGTGATGACATTCGCGTAAAATAACCATGTGATATACTTTCGAGAAAAAGTTGCTCTTTGGTACGTACATTACTAACCAGAAAAAGATACCCTTTATTGAATTTGACCACTTTATTAAATTCTGCATTTTTCTATATATATCCTTAGACTTTAAGGCCGTGGCCTAATTTGCACGTGTATATTAATGCACCGCCCCTTCCTCGCATGTATCAACGCAATTGTGGTCACACCCAACACTGTCACCTTAAGTTCCATGAATGTTTTATGACAAAACATTTATCAGGCAAATATTTAAACATTATGTTCTTTCGATAACATAACATTCACACCATTTTATGTAAAGCACAGTTACACTTTTTCCTATACATGTATAGGTCAGGTGGTTCTTTTTGGTTTTTTGTTGCGTGGTTGTTTTTAACGGCGCACTGGGACATATTCCAGTTATTTGACAGCGGTCCATAAATAATCAACTCTGGACCAGACAATCCAGTGAATGACACCTTGCGCATCCACCCAGGCAAGAGATAAGAAGACGTTCCACCAGCCAAGTCATCGACCCTGACCACCCGATCCATTTAGTCGCCTCTTACAACAAACATCGATCGCTGGGAACCGATATCCTTACCCGGAATTATCATGGGTTAGAGGAAGTGTAACAGGCTTGGTGACATACGTGAATCTTCGTCATTGCATGTTGATCAAAGGAAAGATGTATTTGTATTTGAATGATTTATTCAGGAATAACCATTTTAATATTACATTTAAGACGTTGTATTGCCTTCGTCAGATCGATGAAATGTCTACGAAAAATTAAAAAAATGTTTTTATTATGTCGCAAATACAACGAAAATGATACATAATTAAATATTTCATGTTTGATAAACTTTGAGATAGATAAAACTGATGATGGGTCCGTTTACCCCTCCAAAAATTTAAGTGACACTGCTCGCCAAAACAGTGAGTGAGTGAGCCGGGATTAACGCTGTGAACAGTCATAGGATAACATATATATTACACATCGTGTCGGAAGGCATGTGCTTTGCAAAAAGGTGAGAGTATCCTGCCCAACACGGATCCTCAAGACACGTTAAACATCTACGTTTCCATGGCTAATCGCGTAGGTTCAGAGGTATGTCATACTGTCTCCACATGATCCTCTTGTCGGAACAAATTCAATTTTACTTTTCATTTGCAGGCAAACATATCTAATGCAAACAACAACACTGTAAAATGTCAACAAGCACATAAGATTATTCATATCCTTTATTGGAACCGCTCTTCTCAGGCTTTCAACCTGTGAGTGGGTGAGTATCGTTTAACGCCGCTTTAAGCAATATTCCAGCAATATCAAAGTTTGGGACACCAGAAATGGGCTCCACACATTGTACTCATGTCGGGAATCGAACCTGGGTCTTCGGCGTGACAAGCAAACGCTTTTAACCACCAGGCCCTCGACCGCCCCTTTTAAACCTGTGTGAACCTAAATATATCGTCTTAAGTCACTGTCCACAGTTCACCACCACCACTGTAAACGACCCCTCCACTCTTCAAAACCGTACAATCAGATGTATGTATGTCGTACGCTACGTAGGCACACTCGGACATCATCACACAGACAGCCGCACACTCCTGTACAGTGTCCTTGGTGATTGTCTGGATCACCGTGACAGCTGGTGCAATGTTAGGTTTGGTGAACGACTGGTCCACTCGGGTGCAGGTTTGTATGAAGTTCACCGAAGCCAGGAACACGGGTGCGATTGTCGTAGGAGCAATAGTTGTTGTCGTTGTAGTTGTTGTAGTAGTAGGTGTTGTAGGGGTGGTAGTAGTGGCTGTTGTAGTTGGATCATCTGTTAGAGGGAAGAAGGAACGCTTAGTGTATAATCCAGTACTAGAATGCCACTGAACAATGTCCCAGAAAACCTATACAGGCTAAATTACCTACAACGATTATGAATAGAACAAATGGTGATAGCAAGCCTACTAAAAACCTTTTTAGCTTGTGTATCCTTCCCCTGAAAGCAGATATTTTACGCCTAAATGATACCTATATGCATGAAGATCTGAAGAAGTAATCGAACTAAAGGATTATTGGGGTCTTAAGCCATTCAGATGTTAACTTTCTCAAATGTTTCCCTTTCATGGAATTTCGATTTGAACAAAGTACAACTCACAAAGAACACACACAAAGAACACCGTACATAGTACACCATTTGAATGCAGATGCCAAGACGTATACAATATCCACAATGGTATAATTTCACGCATTTATCGTCTCCATTTGTAGCTACCCTATTATATTAGAGATACCGAATTGAGGTATGTGCTTGTCTGAAACGAGGTGTCTTCTGATCTTCACGCAGAGAGGCATTGTATTGGATTGACATATAGTTTTTTTTATGAGATTAGATTTTATATTGCAGTATTTTGTGGCAATCATTCATATGGTGTATGTTTAGGAACATTGCAGGTTTCACGCAGAGGTATTGTATTGGAGTGACATATAGTTTTTTTATGAGATTAGATATTGTATGGGATCTGTTTTAACTTTTATTCGTTTTCTCTTTCTCATAACCTCAGTCTACTCTGACCTCTTCTATGATCCTTCTCAGGTAAGGAATACGATGACGATTATACACACATTACAAGCCAATGCTTCAAGATTCATACAGGAATACCAGAAACGATATATAAATGTTCATTAAAACGTGACTTTACCTTGAACACAAACAGGATTTGCCTTGTAATAGAAGTTATTCTTCCAGGTACCATCGGTTCCGCAGTGCTTCATACCCTTGTCGTACGATGATGTGGAAGTGAGGGTCGCACCGGGCACGCAAATAAACGTGATAGTTTGGTAGATTTTGTATTCACCAGCCACGTTGGGCTCCGCATTCGTAACTGTCGGTGGATCCAAACACCTGACAGCACCTTAAAAAAACCACATTGTTGCATTAGGTCGGATATCCCAAGAGGGGAAATGTTGAAGGTATAAATGATATTAAGTTAGTGTGAATGTTGTAATACACAATACATCAACATTTACTTTTACTTTTGCAATACGATGAAAAGATTCATTCTTAAGTGGGTAGTATCAATTCAAAGGAGACTTTTCTACATTTGTCTCTTAAAATATACGAAATCGACAATGAGGGTATTGACATTTTGTCCTTCAGTTGTATCACCAACACTTTGTAAAGTCACCATTCAAAAGTATGTCACGCGAGCAATGTGTGTCTAGGATACGACAGTTACAGACCGGAATATTGCTGATTGCAGCGTTAAACAACAAATAAACAAACAAACAAAAATCATATGCTCACTTGTCCTAATGGCGCATGTATCAGGACAGGAGGCCACTGTAGCAGGATTTGTTTCACATTTCCCTTCACTGGCCCACTGTCTACAGTTACAGCTGGTATCTCCTGATGAAGCTGAAAGTAGCATATGTGACTGTTGAATATGACTGCTGTATGATTTTAGTTTTTGAGTTGTCGAATAGTCATCCGTATATCTGTTATGTTCACCTAATACCTTTTAGATGTTTCCTCCTTTTAAGAAATTGGAGGAAGTGGTAGCAAAATCCAGATATCCTCCATACCCAGATGACATAATCGTGTACATATCTAGGATAAACTTACGGTCGCATTCTGATGGTGTGTTGCAGGAAAGAGCACAGTCACAATTCACAGAAGAACTACGATAACATTCGAAGTAGCTGGCCCAATTCTGACACGCGGTCTTTGTGTCTGTGCATGTTCCTATAACAGAAAGTCAAAACTCAAACATAAAGAGAATTAACATCCATATCACATCGGGTTGTGTGGTATATTTATTATACTTTGGACTACTTTTCAGTGATACGGAAAGGTTAAAACATTTATAGGCCTAACTATTGAGCTCATTGCCATTTCATTGTATTACCAAAGTGTGTTCAGAATATGACTCCGAAAGTTTTCAAAGAAGAAGGCCCACTGAACACAAGCCCCAGCTGTGTCTCTGTATGTTACTATCGAACCAAGTATACGTAACCGTCACTGACTGTGCCCAAGGAATCCAAACCATTAAGTGTACAAAGAGGATTATTATGCTTCATATATTATGTAAATAATGGATGGACCATTCATTGTGAAACATATCCACACACTGCTGTATGTTTAGGAACATTGCAGGTTTCAAACCCTATTCAAAAACGTTTGATCCATCAATCAATTGCCACACACAGATGCATTTGTTTCACATCTACAATGAATGGTAGTCTCCTAGGTCAATGTGCACATATGAATTGTCAATCCAAGATAATGACCAGTGTAGGTTATCCACCGAAACAGGTTCCATTTGGCGTAAGGACAAAATAGCTATGAGAATTATACGAAATTGGCCACTGAAAATCGGTAATCACACCAGGTGTGTCAAGTCAAGTTTTATGTAAATGGAAACAACATTACCTAATAAAGTAGTAGGAGCCGGTGTAGTTGTAGTTGTAGTCGTGGTGGCTGTTGTGGTCGTTGGAGCTGGTGTGGCTATTCAAAGGAAATTCTTGAGAATTAGTACTGCTTTGTGATGAAACATTGCAAGACATTTGCAGCTGTCAGCTACAGTAGAAAATAGGTATTTAATCCTCGAAATATAAAAGTACGTATTATGATGTATGCCATGCATGACATGTGCCATTTACATTATTCACATGAATTTCCTAAGGTATTTTGTGGCAATCATTCATTTCGTCTGTAAATGGAGGCATTCGAGTTTTTTCTCTTTCTCAATATCATTATTCCCAAAGTTTGCCGTCCCAATCTAAATGAAGGTTCGATGGATTCTTGAGCCAATCAGATGTCAGTTTTCTGAAAGATTCGCCGAAATTTCCTCACCACCTCGATCTAAAATGTTCTGTCTTAGCAAAGCATAACCCACACAGAACACACATATACCATAAACAGAACACTCGGTTTGATGTCGATGTATGCAATATTCACAACAATATAAAGCCGCAACTTTAATATCCTGCATTCGCCGCAATCCGAGTGAAATCGAGATCTGATGTTCTTGTCTGAATGCCTCTGCTTATATGTTTTGAGAAGTTAGAAGCACCAAGGCCGACTGGTTGATAAGGAGGTTCACCTGACGCGACTTCCTGTGGAGATGTCGTCTGGTCTTCAAGCAGAGAGGTATTGTATTGGAGTGACATATAGTTTTTTTATGAGATTGGATTTTGTATGGGATTTGATTTAACTTTCATTTGTTTTTGTTTTCATTTTCTCATAGCCTCAGTCTACGCTGACCTACTGTATGATCCTTCCCAGGTTAAGAATGCTTCAAGATTCATACAGGAATACCAGAAACGATATATAAATGTTCATAAAAACGTGACTTTACCTTGAACACAAACAGGATTTGTCTTGAAATAGAAGTTATTCTTCCAGGTACCATCGGTTGCGCAGTGCTTCATACCCTTGTCGTACGATGATGTGGAAGTGAGGGTCGCACCGGGCACGCAAATAAACGTGATAGTTTGGTAGATTTTGTATTCACCAGCCACGTTGGGCTCCGCATTCGTAACTGTCGGTGGATCCGGACACCTGACAGCACCTTAAAAACAGCAACATTGTTGCATTAGGTCGGATATCCCAAGAGGGGAAATGTTGAAGGTATAAATGATATTAAGTTAGTGTGAACGTTGTAATGTAGATATTGGAGATATTCGCGACACAATACATCTACATTTACTTTTACTTTTGCAATACGATGAAAAGATTCATTCTTAAGTAGGTAGTATCAATACAAAGGAGACTTTTCTACATTTGTCTCTTAAAATATACGAAATCGACAATGAGGGTATTGACATTTTGTCCTTCAGTTGTATCACCAACACTTTGTAACGTCACCATTCAAAAGTATGTCACGCGAGCAATGTGTGTCTAGGATACGACAGTTACAGACCGGAATATTGCTGATTGCAGCGTTTAACAACAAATAAACAAACAAACAAAAACCATATGCTCACTTGTCCTAATGGCGCATGTATCAGGACAGGAGGCCACTGTAGCAGGATTTGTTTCACATTTCCCTTCACTGGCCCACTGTCTACAGTTACAGCTGGTATCTCCTGATGAAGCTGAAAGTAGCATATGTGACTGTTGAATATGACTGCTGTATGATTTTAGTTTTTGAGTTGTCGAATATTCATCCGTATATCTGTTATGTTCACCTAATACCTTTTAGTTGTTTCCTCCTTTTAAGAAATTGGAGGAAGTGGTAGCAAAATCCAGATATCCTCCATACCCAGATGACATAATCGTGTACATATCTAGGATAAACTTACGGTCGCATTCTGATGGTGTGTTGCAGGAAAGAGCACAGTCACAATTCACAGAAGAACTACGATAACATTCGAAGTAGCTGGCCCAATTCTGACACGCGGTCTTTGTGTCTGTGCATGTTCCTATAACAGAAAGTCAAAACTCAAACATAAAGAGAATTAACATCCCCATCACATCGGGTTGTGTGGTATATTTATTATACTTTGGACTACTTTTCAGTGATACGGAAAGGTTAAAACATTTATAGGCCTAACTATTGAGCTCAATGCCATTTCATTGTATTACCGAAGTGTGTTCAGAATATGACTCCGAAAGTTTTCAAAGAAGAAGGCCCACCGAACACAAGCCCTAGCTGTGTCTCTGTATGTTACTATCAAACCAAGTATACGTAGCCGTCACTGACTGTGCCCAAGGAACCCAAACCATTAAGAGTACAAACAGGGTTATTACGCTTTATACATTATGTTAATAATGGATGGACCATTCATTGTGAAACATATCCACACACTGCTGTATGTTTAGGAACATTGCAGGTTTCAAACCCTATTCAAAAACGTTTGATCCATCAATCAATTGCCACACACAGATGCATTTGTTTCACATCTACAATAAATGGTAGTCTCCTTGATCAATGTGCACATATGAATTGTCAATCCAAGATAATGACCAGTGTAGATTATCCGCCGAAACAGGTTCCATTTGGCGTAAAGGACAAAATAGCTATGAGAATTATACGAAATTGGCCACTGAAAATCGGTAATCACACCAGGTGTGTCAAGTCAAGATTTAATGTAAATGGAAACAACATTACCTAATAGTGTAGTAGGAGCCGGTGTAGTTGTAGTTGTAGTCGTGGTGGTTGTTGTGGTCGTTGGAGCTGGTGTGGCTATTCAAAGGAAATTCTTGAGAATTAGTACTGCTTTGTGATGAAACATTGCAAGACATTTGCAGCTGTCAGCTACAGTAGAAAATAGGTATTTAATCCTCGAAATTTAAAAGTACGTATTATGATGTATGCCATGCATGACATGTGCCATTTACATTATTCACATGAATTTCCTAAGGTATTTTGTGGCAATCATTCATTTCGTCTGTAAATTGAGGCATTCGAGTTTTTCCTCTTTCTCAATATCATTATTCCCAAAGTTTGCCGTCCCAATCTAAATGAAGGTTAGATGGATTCTTGAGCCAATCAGATGTCAGTTTTCTGAAAGATTCGCCGACATTTCCTCACCACCTCGATCTAAAATGTTCTGTCTTAGCAAAGCATAACCCACACAGAACACACATATATCATACACAGAACACTCGGTTTGATGTCGATGTATGCAATATTCACAACAATATAAAGCCGCAACTTTAATATCCTGCATTCGCCGCAAACCGAGTGAAATCGAGATCTGATGTTCTTGTCTGAATGCCTCTGCTTATATGTTTTGAGAAGTTAGAAGCACCAAGGCTGACTGGTTGATAAGGAAGTTCACCTGACGCGACTTCCTGTGGAGATGTCGTCTGGTCTTCAAGCAGAGAGGTATTGTATTGGAGTGACATATAGTTTTTTTTATGAGATTGGATTTTGTATGGGATTTGATTTAACTTTCATTTGTTTTTGTTTTCATTTTCTCATAGCCTCAGTCTACGCTGACCTATTGTATGATCCTTCCCAGGTTAAGAATGCTTCAAGATTCATACAGGAATACCAGAAACGATATATAAATGTTCATAAAAACGTGACTTTACCTTGAACACAAACAGGATTTGTCTTGAAATAGAAGTTATTCTTCCAGGTACCATCGGTTGCGCAGTGCTTCATACCCTTGTCGTACGATGATGTGGAAGTGAGGGTCGCACCGGGCACGCAAATAAACGTGATAGTTTGGTAGATTTTGTATTCACCAGCCACGTTGGGCTCCGCATTCGTAACTGTCGGTGGATCCGGACACCTGACAGTACCTTAAAAACAACAACATTGTTGCATTAGGTCGGATATCCCAAGAGGGGAAATGTTGAAGGTATAAATGATATTAAGTTAGTGTGAACGTTGTAATACACAATACATCAACATTTACTTTTACTTTTGCAATACGATGAAAAGATTCATTCTTAAGTAGGTAGTATCAATTCAAAGGAGACTTTTCTACATTTGTCTCTTAAAATATACGAAATCGACAATGAGGGTATTGACATTTTGTCCTTCAGTTGTATCACCAACACTTTGTAAAGTCACCATTCAAAAGTATGTCACGCGAGCAATGTGTGTCTAGGATACAGACCGGAATATTGCTGATTGCAGCGTTAAACAACAAATAAACAAACAAACAAAAACCATATGCTCACTTGTCCTAATGGCGCATGTATCAGGACAGGAGGCCACTGTAGCAGGATTTGTTTCACATTTCCCTTCACTGGCCCACTGTCTACAGTTACAGCTGGTATCTCCTGATGAAGCTGAAAGTAGCATATGTGACTGTTGAATATGACTGCTGTATGATTTTAGTTTTTGAGTTGTCGAATAGTCATCCGTATATCTGTTATGTTCACCTAATACCTTTTAGATGTTTCCTCCTTTTAAGAAATTGGAGGAAGTGGTAGCAAAAGCCAGATACCCTCCATACCCAGATGACATAATCGTGTACATATCTAGGATAAACTTACGGTCGCATTCTGATGGTGTGTTGCAGGAAAGAGCACAGTCGCAATTCAGAGAAGAAACACGATAACATTCGAAGTAGCTGGCCCAATTCGGACATCCGCCCTGTGTGTCTGTGCATGCTCCTACAACAGAAAGTCAAAACTCAAGCATAAAAGAGAATGAATATCCTCATCACATCTTGTTGGGTGGTATATTTAGCAATTAGTTCAGGTCTTTTTTGGGTACAAATAACTTTTAACTACTTATCAGTGATACAGAATAGATCAAACATTTGATAGACTTAACTATTCAGCTAAATGCCATTGAAATTGTAGCACCGAAGTGTAATCAGAATAGGGGTAGAGAGAAAGAGAGAGGCAGAGAGAGAGACCAAGTCAAAAGACTCCTTTTGTAGTTGACTCAACCATCCGTTGTATAGGGTACGAAAAATCTTGTCATACCTCCAGGTCCAGTTCCATTCAAAATGCACCTGATTTTCATCAACAGTGAAGGTGATACAGACTAAAATCTTCCCGAGTGTAGTTCCACAAGTTGGAGTGTTAACCTTGGTACGAATGAGTGTAGTTGTAATATTACACTACTGATATAACGGAATAAATCGTGATTGTTGTATTTACCATCATATTGTTTCAAATGTGCCACAACACATCGTTCAATGATCCGTTTTGTCAAATATAGTTCCAGGAAATTGCTTGTCAATGACCAGATTTTCAAACAGGGCCATTTCTTTGATAGGTATTTAGAAGTTGGAGTACTAAGTAAGGATAAGAATTTATGGATCAACAACTTTTTTATTACAATTAAGAGCGACGTTTCGGTGTAGGTTCTAACACCCTTATCAAGCAAGTGATATACAGAGTGTGGCTGACAAGTATATGTACAGGTAGAAAGCAATGTTTACAGTAGAGTACAGTACTAGTATCAGATGTAGTTATTCTTGAGTGGAGAAGCCTGTTATGTACACACAAGGGTAGTAATGGCAATCATCGGTGAAGGCTCATTTATTTACTTCAGACGCTGAAGTACACGTGTTCGATTGGATTGAGATCTGGAGATCTCGACGACCTGGGAAAGTCGTTGATGTTGGCATTATACAGGGAGACTACCATGACACGAGCTCTGTGCGGTGGAGCTTTGTCCTTTTGAAACAGCTCCATCTGGCGGTCAATGATTGGAAGAAAGCGAGGTTGAAGAATTTGATTAATGTAGAGATTTGCTGTCAAAGTTCCCTGAACCACAACCAAGTCAGATCTCGTGGTATAGGATAGGCCCCACACACCATGACACTACCGCCACCAAAATTGTCGAATTCAAGTACACAATGTGGGGCAAAACGCTTATTTCGACGACGATCGATAAACACGTTGTCTTCCATCTTGTCGGTGAAGAAAAAATCTTGATTCATCACTAAACCATACTCCTCTCCAGTTTCTCAAATTCCAAGGCTGTAAGGTATGGCATCAACGCAAGCGTCGCTGTCGATGGATCTGGGTCGGATTCCAGGCTCGCGATGATGGTTCCTGACAGCATGGTCCGATATCCTCCTTAAACCAGGGATGTGTCCTGCAGTCTCCTTAGCTGTGGCATTGCGATGGCGTAGGTGGAACAGTCGAATGTAGCGATCCTGTCCAGGGGTGGTAGCTCTTGGTCGGCCGGTTCTCGGACATTCTGCAGTGGAATTGAACTGTGTGTATCGATCACGAAGACGTCAAATGGTGCTGTGGTGGACGTTGAAGTGGCGTGCAACAGAAGGCTGCGATTCCCCTCTTTGGATACGTCCTATGGCTATGCTCCGATCGGCAGCGATGAGTCTCGTCATTTTCGAATGACAAGTTATTGGCTAATGCTTGCCTTTTTATAACCACTACCATGCGTTACGAATGCCATAACTTGCACGTTTGTTGTTTCAGTCAGGTTCAATGAACTACATACTACCCGTGCGTTTCTCTTTTTGAAGAGTGTATACTCAGATAACATCCTCATTAGATGGGAAAGGTATGTTGAGAACTGCCTCAGTACGTCAGTCATACATTTACGTTATACATTTACATCAAGTCCAAGACGTCAAAATGGCCGATATTTGACATATCTCTACAATCACCTTTCGAGGTATCGGCCAGCTTGTAATAGTAAATCTCTCCCGTCACGTTTATCGTGTAGGGCATTTTGACGTCTTGGACATGATGTAAATGATGTATATATACATATACTCCTAAAAAAAACAACTTGACACTGATTTTCAAAATGTAATATAATGCGATTGTTTCAAAATAGGACACAGAAACCATAATTGAAACACTGTTTGAAGATCAATGTACACAATGTTCAAAACATTAATCGTGTCACCTAGACAGACACACGTACACGATACAGTTAATGTCACAGGGGTACAGAAAATGTCAGTATCGGTTGTGCCCACCACGTGCATCAATCACCGCTTGACACCGACGACCCATAGATGCAATCAAGTTGTCAATAACACGCTGTTGGATGTGCTGCCTTTCATGCTGAAGTGCATCAAGAAGAGCCGGAAGTGTTTGGGGCGGTGGATTCCTTCTGCGAACGTGTCGATCCAACTCGTCCCACAGATGCTCAATCGGGGACAAATCTGGTGACCGGGCTGGCCAAGGTAATGTCTGTAAGAAGTCCTGACAAACACGTCCAATATGCGGTCGAGCGTTGTCCTGCTGGAACTGTCCGCCATGAACGTTGACGTGAGAAAGAACGTAAGGCTGTAGGATCAAGTCTCTGTAACGCACACCTGTCAATGCACCTTCCACATGCACGAGAGGCGTACTACCATCGTTATGAATTCCGGCCCATACCATGACACTCCCACCGCCAAATGGGACAACCTGCTGCACACAGTTTGGGGCGTTACGTTCACCCCGACGTCTGTAGACACGTGCGCGCCCATCAGCACGTGTGAGTAGGAAACGGGACTCGTCAGTAAACAGTACATTTCTCCACCTTTGCACGTGCCCATCTAACCCTATGTTGGCATCAAAGCAGACGGTCCGCCAGATGACGTGGGGTCACTACGTGATGTCGAACAGGTCTTCGTGCAAAAAGTCCAGCCTCCCTCAGTCTGTTGCGTACCGTTTGATCTGATATTCTGCGTACCCCAGGGATCTGTGTGGTTGTAGACGTGGCTGTGGTAGTGCGGTCTCGGAGGTGTCGAAGCCGGATGTATCGATCTTGTGCTTGGGTTGTCACCCTTGGTCTTCCTGACCTTGGTCTGTCGTCAACTCTGTTGGTGTTGTTGTATCGGGTCCACAGTGAGGAGATTGTCTATCTGGATACGCCAAATTTCCTGGCCACTTCTTGCTGAGTTGCTCCAGCTTGTAATCTCCCGATGGCGTTGTTCCGTTGAGCTGCATTCAGTCTTGGCATTCTGTCACCGCCTCTACTGCCGTTATAAGGACTTTGTATGAACAGCCGTTGATGTGGATTTTTATACCCATTCAGCAGGGGGGCCTGCATGCCTAAATGCAGGATCATGTGCTGCACGTTTTTAACAGGTGGTTGCGTTTGGATGAAGCTGTAAAATTGATCCCCAAACGCTACGTTTATGTGCTGTGCATGTGTTGTCGCGAATTAAAGACACATCATCTTTCTGTTTGACTAATTTGGTTCTCATTTTAATATAATTATTTTAGATATTTGGCAAAAAGTGGTTTTACATCTATGTCAAGTTTCTTTTTTTGAAGAGTATATATTTCGTAAAAGAAACGTCACCCAAAGTAACATTGCATGAAAAGTGATCATTTAATTTTTGTCAAAGTTTCTAAATTTTAACATTACCTTGTCCTGAAAAATAAAATTTTATGATAAAAAACAAAGCAGATGACAAAAAAACCGATCGCCCAAAACGCATCACAGCAACGGCCACAGACACCCGATGCACGTGAGTTCCGTGCAAATTGAAATGCACATGCATTTCCCATTTCTTGCCCTATAAAAATCCAAGAACTGCCAAGACTGACAAGAAATCAGCGACACCAAGCTCTTGGACGATTGCAAGCTGGACAAACCGCCCGGCAAGTAGCCAATGCATTTCAAGTCCACGTATGGACCATATACACGCTCCAGCAACGGTACCAGACCACTAACACTACAGATGACCAAGGGTCACCAGCCGACGTCAGGATCATCAGATTGTGCGACAGCATCTTCACGATCGCTTTGTTATTGCAGCGGAAACTGCTCGACAGACCATGTGGACACGCCAGCAACCTGGGACCGTCGTCAGTGGGCAACACAGCACCAGCATTGGCGCCACCAGCATTGGAGAAGAGTCCTCTTCTCAGACAAGAGCCGTTACTGTATATCAACAGCCGATTGCAGAGAGTCTGGCGACGCCGTGGGGAACATTATTCGGATGCTTGTGTTGTTGAGTGAGACTCATGGGATGGTCCGAGCATCATGGTGTGGGTAGGAATTGGTCTTGTACAGAGGGTCAGCGCTGTGGTCTTCCAGAACATCGGTCCAAGGAGAGGCAATGGTGTCACAGCAGCTCGGTACATTGATCAAGTCAATGTGGTCAGGGGCCTTCATCATTCGCCTCATCCATTCCATGTATCGACGCTGCACGGCAGTCATCAATGCACATGGCGGACACACGATATACTGACTTCTGATGCCGTTTTCTCAGAGACTAGTGTTGTGTTTCACTTTAAGAACATTTGACACTTTAATTTCAACCTTGATGATAAGTTTTGCTAAGTTTCATCTTTTTAATGTCTCAAAGTATGTTTATACTGTTTGGATAAGTAAGGTTTCTCATATATCTATTCATGGTGACGTTTCTTTTGCGGTTCAGTAGTATTGCTGTAGAGTGTCACTGTAGTCTTGACACGGATCGAGTAACTAACAGTGCCTCAGTTTTGTCAGGCTTGATTGGTGTAGTGTGGTCAATAATTTCCGTTAGTTCAATGCAAGCGATGAGCTGCGTGTGATACGCATACTGCTGGTGATCCACGTCATGCTGTTTTGTGATCTCCCCAATCTTTGTTATGTATAACACAAAACACCAGGGTATACATGTAGTTTAGTATACGGGAGACAAAATACATGGCGACCTGTTTTAATTATGAATTGAGTGTGGTATTGGTCCATTCTCTGTCGACTGGCGTTGTCACGTTTCAATACTCTCACATTGTAAATAACAATGTATGTACAATCCTTGGAGAAAAAACTCCCTGGAGCTAACTGAGGCTTTGCCTGGTACTTGTATGCGGTGTGTCGAGTATTGTTCCATGAGTGAATGAGTGAGTGAGCATATTTTACGCCGCTTTTAACAATATCCCAGCAATATCACATTCACATATTGTACCCATATGGGAAATCGAACCCGGGTCTTCGGCGTAACGAACGAACGCTTTAACCACAAGGCTACCCTACCGCCCCTATTGTGCCATGGATAATCAAAATATGTTATTAGATACATTGGCCTTTAACGATATAATGACTGGACGCATGCTGTCCAAACCATTTGCGAATTGAAGCGTGAACAATATATCAGTGTAAAGTTACCTTTATGCCAAATGACGGGTTACTGTTTCGTCGTAGTTTACGGTGTATTGTGGCTATTACTAAATACATACTACACGCTTGTGCAGTCATATATTAATGACACTATGTAGCTGATAACGTATATATAAGGTGAAATAACACCGTTGGCATTATATGCTAGCTATTGTGCCATTGTATGAAAAGACGTTCATTTGAACTTTCCATCACAAAAACCGAAAATGACTGGCTTAGAGCTATCTTTGACACCATTGAGAACAAATTATACCACTGAGGTCCACATGTAAAACAGGCTATTGTAAAGCAGATCGGTACTCAGAAATCTTGAACGATCCTGGTGAACCCTCAGTTGTCGAATGTTAGCACATGCTGTCTACGGGTCTTTGATTGACCATTCTGCTGAAAACCTGATGTGTGATACTATGTTTAGGAGACTCGACATTACGTCATCGATTAGGTTCATTAGTTGTATTGATTTAAGCACTCATGAACAAAAGCATTTCAGGGAATCAGTAGAGTTGAAATAACTAGGCACTTATAGCACATACCGATTCTGAAACATAAAGTGATGATTTCTGTTGATGATATGAATACAGTTAACTACGGTTATAACGAACTCAAAGGGACCACTAATTTTAGTTCGTTATAACCGTAGTTCGTTATAAGCATATATACAGCATATATACAGCACATGGGCCGGACCAAAAAGCAGTTCGTTATATCCGTCAGTTCGTTATAAGGGTGTTCGTTATAAACGTAGGTTACTGTACTTGCATCGATAATGCAACTTTGATTCACTAAAGGAAACTTTTAAAACATGTGGGGAGACCATAAGGTTATAACGAACTCAAAGGGACTGCCAACTTTAGTTCGTAATAACCGTTGTTCGTTATAATCATATATACAGCATAAGTACAGCATATAGTCGGGACCATAAAAGTAAGTTCGTTATATCCGTCAGTTCGTTATAAGCGTGTTCGTGATTACCATACGTTACTGTAGATTGTAAACATGTATTGGAGAAAGAGGGTAATAAATGTCACGTCAATTCAAAGTACACTGACTTGAAAACATTGTATGGTATGATACTGTTCTAAGTCTGGTGGTATAAACAAATCATCCAACTGATGAAAATATCCTGCTACATAATGATTGGGTAACCCCTATATGACCTCATGATTAAAGGAGAGAGACGTGTTATCATGGCACGATGTGCACGAGGTCCTTGAAAACCTGTGTTTGGATGTATCGTGACAGAATCGTTACACATCATTATCAGAGAACACA